ACTGCCCTGTGAAAGGACTTATGAAAGGAGTTGTGACAGACTCGACTACGACTCTGTTCTCAGAGCAAGGAATAATATGAAGTGATACTTTTGTTCACGGATGAATGATGTTTGTACAAGTACATGTTTCCAACAATGCTGTATTAATTTGGATTTATAATAGGCCCTAAATATTTTTCATTTTCAAGACATGCCTTGAAGTAGGGCTGTGGTGGCGACAGATAAGAGACAGATTGTAAAAGCAAGCCACTACAGCCCTATTTGTGGGGCTAGTTAACTACCATGAAGTTGATTTTCTAAATAAAACACAGTCAAGTCTGCCTCAGACAAATTTCCGCTTTATTATATGACACCGTATGCTGTCGTCGCGTCGTTCCCACGAATTCTTTCACACGCATTAAGCGGATGTTTCTCTCCAGGCTTTGTTTTTACTGCATACACAATGTGTTTTGTTTCCAAAGTTTCTCATTTCCTTTCTATCAACTTCATAGAAGTTGAACGAACCTGGAATACGAACAAACGTTGCTGGGATATACTGTATACAAAGACTCGGGCGCGTTGCTAAGTTTTGTTTGGTCAATTTGGCTACTTTTATCCAATTTTCAATCCAATTTTAAAATCACAATGTAGGCCTATTTCCATCCTGTCGAATTTGCATTTATAATAATGTACCGTTGCGATTTTGCTTCTTTCAGGTCCTGATATTTTGTGATTAAATCTTCTAACCCCTTGCAAATGCTACCTGCTTGTTTTCTGGCTTTTAATTCAACTCCACTCATCTTGTAAAGCCTTTCACAAACCATTTGCTCAGTGTAGAGAACACGTTTTATGCGACCACACCACACAGCGATCTGTACAGCACCGTCAATGCCACTGCCCAGTATTAGAAATGACAGTTTATGCTCCAGTTTCAACTTTGCACGACAGCAATCTTTCCAATCTAACAGATCATATTAAATGTCACACCATGCCACAGATGGAAGCAGCAGAGATAAACAAATTTGAGGAAGTTGACGCGCTGTACATTTCATCATTTTCCTGTATACCAGGTGCCAAACCTCGGTGGCTGTTTCAGTCGAACAACCAAAACGATGATGGCTCCCAAGCCTTCCTACATGACATCAAACATCCGTATGATTCCATCATTTTCTCCAAACGGATTCTCAATATATCCGTGAGGGGGCGCTACTTCCAGAAGGCAGAAGGGCGCCATGTTTTCATTCCAGAGACTTTTCATATTTATATTTATCTTCTGGACTACTTTTATCGATGGTTTTCCTAGTCTGGAAAGATAACCCTAGCGCCATTAGTTTCCTTCCCCAGGAATGAAAGTTTTCAGTTTATTGTATCTTAAACACTGTGACGATTTACAAATTTTCTCCAAGCATTTTTTAACGTAGGTTTTTAAATTAGCGTTTTCAATGATATCTTGAACAATTATTGTGCTACCCTTAACCTTGAGATGAATTCTGATTAACTCTGCGCAGACGCGAAACCACGACCTCTTGTTTATAATGCAGATATCTAAACACTCATTGGTCAGTTCGGGCGGCCTGTTCTTGACACGGGTTTCGCGTTCTCGCGCTCGAACGGCGGGAACACGCCCCAAGAACACTGTTCTCGGAACAGGTTCACACACTACCTCCTCATCAGGGTTTTACGAGAACACATGGGAAAACTTGTGAGATTTGTTTTTTGAAAAGCTGCAAAAACTATCGAGATGGCTTACAGAACTGGAGACAATGGAAAGTTTTGCACAATTAACATCAATAATTATCCACGACAGATATGATTTTTTTAATGGAAAAGAAGTTAGCTCAAACATTAACTCTCGAAGAATGTACAAAGACGCCGCCATGTTGCATGTTTGTTGTATGTTGCTTGCATGCTGCAGGTAACTAGTAGCGATAACCGAATGTACGTTCCCAGCGTTCGAGCGGCCGACCAACAAACTACAATTCGAGCTGTTGCTGAACATACGAGAACAAGCCGCCCGAACTCAGCCAATTAGTCAAATATATGAGCCAGTTCGGTATTGCAAAAGTGCATGCCCTAAATGAAGTGCGTCCGAGGTCATTCGGACGCGCGTGTGAGATCTGTCCACTCAGCGCGGCCCCACGCCAACTCGCACACCTGCTTTATTCCCGAATGACCTGGTAGTTTTTAAATACCGACAATGGCGTAAATTGGGTGGATGAGGGCGTGGTGGGGGTGACGCCATAACTCTACATGTATACAGAAGTCTTTGTTCATGATATTGATGTACATTTGTACATGTAGGTATGTATGACATTCGTGCAGAATCTTACATCAGAATGGCATATCTGTGGTTTTTTATTTGATTATTGTCCCTTATTGAGTGACATTGAATGCTTTTTTAGTTGTTGAAAGTCGGGAAAATTCTTCACAACCCGCTTTAACTGTTTGCTCATCACAAGAAAGTGGAGGGGGTGATTCAAAGGTCCATCGCCCACCCACCAAAAAGTGGGGGATATACACCCCCACCCCCGGGCTTCATGTTCATGAATACCGAAATGGCTCATTATGGGCATGAAACTCCTTACCTGTAGTATTTCCCAGCAGCAAGTCCTGACAGTCCCCTGCTGCACACTCGCAATCACCCGTCCAATGATTGCATACCAGACCAACTGGACAGCTGCACTGATTCGAACATCGCGGACCGAACAGTCCTTGAGGACAACGACCAAGGCACGAATACCTGGGGAGAAAAAGGCGGAAATATCCACCTTTACTTATTTTATAAAGTCCACGAGCATTTAAAGTAATTTTTAGTGATGACTTCCCAGGGGTCACGATGATTCAAATTCCTGTTTTAGATAACATCACCTATATATTTCGGGAGGTGACAGGTGATGTTCGATTCGGTTAGGAAACAGTTTCTTTCTGAACACAAAAAAATGATAGCCTTTTAGGCAGTCGATCATAATTATAATTATGATTAATGACCTCGGATTTAAGTTGTCGTGACGACCTCTCTTATCTTGCTGCTTCACATCTGTAGTACAGTTGGCAAGGTAGAAAAGTTGAGTTTGTGAAAGTGTAGGGATATCTGCGTCTACCACTTAGGGACAATTAATATTTTTGTGTGTGGTCAGTAATTTGTGTGTGCCTTGTGTGGCCTTAAGTGACTTCTGACAAATTCATTTATATGTGCATTTTATTTCAATTTTTTTAAGTTGTATTAAAATTCTGGGTGAGAAATCATGAGCCAGTTCGACATTCAAACAGCACATGACCAAAATGAAGCTCGTCTGAGGTCAATCGGGAGCAGCGATACATGTAGGTCAGTCTAATCAGCGCGACCGTATGACGAGTCAAGCGCTGAACATGTTCGCACTTTGCAGGATTAGCTCTAATTCTCGAATGACCTTGCCTTTTTGAAATATCGAATTGGCTCATTGCACGCAGTCCACGGGTCCTTACCTGTCTTCAGTCGCACACCTGCATAACCCCGTTGATCTACTGCAAGTTGCGTTCTCTCCGCACTCACACTGAATGGAGCAATCGTCGCCGTAGTATCCTGGTGGGCATGGTTCGTCACATAGTTGGCCCGTCCAAGCGGCTGGGCACCGGCACGGCTTACCGTGCAATCGGCAAGTTCCCCTGTTCAAACAGCCGCAACTCCGCTGTGAAGTATCTGCGTAATGGACGAAGAAATTAAAGAATGCCAAATCCGTGTGTGATCTTAAGCTAAAGGTATGAGCCGTAAAGGTCTGAACAGGATTGAGGTTCAATACATATGATATAATATATATGCATATAATATTGATTGCTCGGCTTGATTCCGTCATGACTTCATTTTTTCGTCTCTGCCTTTGCCTTTTTGGCGGGAAACACCTCGGGCTGTCTTATTAAAAGTTTCTCTTTTCACCCACAATATTTCTATATTACAGCTGTCTCTTAAGATATCAGGCAGCGAGACCTTGAAAAAAGTTGGAACGACGGCCATCTGTCAGCAACTGGTCGATTTAAATCTGGTACTAGTAGCAGTGTCCCAAGATATAATTTGCGGTGCACAGGTTACCAGGGGGAAAAATGACTCGTGGTCCACAATGGCCCATCCCTCGAACTTCCTCTAACCTGCAGCTATACCCACCTGCGACTGTACACACCCCAGTGATGTGGTCACATCCACCTGTCTTGCATCGACACTTCTGTCGACATTTTGGGCCGTATCGATTAATAGGACAACGGGCCGTACAGCTGCGACCAAAAGAATCGAAAAGACGATTATTATTTCCATCACGACACAAAACTGTTGGTCTGCTTATTCTGCCTATGTTTAGTTTGCATCATTGATAAATTTGCTTTTTGATGTCATGGAAACGAACAAGAGAAAACGGAGGAAATAGTTAAAAACTGTACACACGAGTCTGTCGACGCTGCACTGGCATGACATCATCCAGAGTAGTGCCAGATTCTTATTTTGGAAACAAAATGGCTGCCAAGAATGGTGACACTCAGGTTGGAACTCTCTCTAACACGGCTATTGAATGGCCCCCTTTGATAGCAAAAAGCACGGGTGTGTTGCTGCTCACACAGCAGGGGCTTTTGTATTGCAGCTTGTCGTCATTGGGCACAATGACAGGGGCCACTGCCAATGACCACTGACAGGGTTACCATGGTCATCGGATGCACTTATACACATAAACATCAATTCTGGTCGCCTGTGTTAATTCCGAGTCAATGTCTCTCTTAAATCCCTGTTCAACTTCAGACCATCCCCTCCTTCCTCCATGTTCAGACTCACTTGTCAGGATTAATACATTCGCAGACGCCTGTTATCGGTTCGCACGCAGCGTCCAGACCACAGCGACATCCCCGTTTACAGCTGGGACCGTAGGTGCTATTGTTTTTCTCCCGGCACGACGTCTGACAATTGGAGCCAACCCATCCGGGCTTACAGATGCAGGACCGGTTGATAGGGTTGCAGGAGGCACCATTCCTACAAGGACAGGCTGGCGAAAAAGACAGTGGAAAGTCATTATTGACGGGATCATTCGACTTTAAAAAAAAAAGGCCGAACTTAAGTTTAATCTTGGAGGCAGATGTGTCCAGATGCTCATCGAAAAACCATGAACCAAAAAAAAAATCAAGACTAACTTATCATGTGCATTTGAAAACTCACGATTGGCAAAACATAGAAATAAGAAAAACTGAATTGTTAGAATAAAGAAAAAACGATTCTACCACTTATTATTTTATCCAAGGAAATCAGAAATGTGTAAACATTATGCATACTTTTCAACAAAGATTTGTTTTTTATGTCTTATCATATTTGGTCACTTTGAAAGTACGTTAAGAGACTTTAAGTGCCCTTTAAGATATACTCAGTCTTCTGTTGTGGTTACTTTGGGGTAAAAGGGTACAAGCCATAGCCAAGTAAGTCCGGCACGGCCCATGAACAGATTCTCTGAAACAATGCCTTGTAGTTCAAGAGCGTACTGAATGGCTGGCCACGCCCACACAGTCATATAAAAAGTTTTTTAAGGTGTTACGGTTATTTACAGTGTTATACCACAGTGACGTCAAGCTGACGTCAGTGATTGCTGGAAACACGTTTTTCTAATAAGCCTGAGGGATGTGGATTGTAACAATGGGTGACAGGCAGGGTAGGGTGTGCGCGTCATATGTCCACTACTGAAGTCATTTCATGCTTCCATCAAACTAACAGCAGTTTTGAATTAGAAAATCATTGCTTTACCAACCTCTTGAAATAGCCTTCGTTCTATTTCCCAACAAAATTCCACTGGGATCACAATTACGCATCGGAATCAACTGATTTGGGGATTCCTATTGTGGTATTTTGGCATTCGTCATCCAAAAGTTTGACTAAATCAGGAAACCCGACCGGACGCGAGAGAGAACGTTATCCCTAGCTCACGGGTCCAATGCGCAGGGGCCATGTTCGATTTAGGATACGAGGGGAGAGAACATCATTTGTTGGCTCAACAAATGTTGTGGTCATACTTACCTACGTGACATGTTTGGTTTGGATACAGCACCTTGCAACAGGAAATGAAAGTGTTCCAGTCGTGCTTTAGATAAACCTCTGCATCACTGTTAACCGAAATAGAAACATGAAACTGCATTCCTGATGACCTGAAAAATTTCACACACTGGCGATCAGTACACACCAAATTCTTCACACATCCTTTCAAGCCTGTTACTAAATGGCATTATCCTATTTACCTTTCAATATTGTTATCGTTCATTATTGTTCCTTCCCAACGCAATGTACATCAAATCAGCATAATGCCAGTTAACACCCCATCCTGAGTCCCAAGTACCCTACCCCCACTCACACAAGGTGACCTACTTGGTCACTAACCGTCCCCTTGAGGCTTGGCAAACCTCTTAGCAAAGACGGAAACCCACAACGTCATTTTCCGGCAACCCTTCATTTCTGAAGGCAATTGGAAGGTCACACAAACGTTCCACAAAATTTCAAAAAGTTTCGAGTCAATGTTTTACTGTAGTTCCTTTTTGGTGAACAAGTATAGCAGTTTTTCCCGAACAACAATGAAATATTGTGATTTGTGCGTTTTTGGGTGCGTTGCTTAAACGATGCATTCATGCGTTTCACTTTCATGGACAGAAAAATCAACTCCATTAATTAACATAGTACACGCGTGCGTTGCGTTCGGGTCTCAAAATCGCCCCGCTAGCGATTTTGACGAATATGCAAAGCTCAGCGCAAGTGTTGACGTCCATATGGAAAGGCGCCTTCATTCATTTGATGAAAACAAGAATGTGCAATTGGAGATCTCAAACATTGCTACCCATCAAAATTGCAGTTTCCATCGTTTCCTCCTATTCATTGATTGATAACTGCGGGTTTTCCATGCAAACATTCTGTCTGCCTCTTAGGTTTATAATTACTATCCCATTCACAAACAGTTATCTTTGTACACTACTTTAAAAAGAAAAACACTTAGCCAAATAATTCAGCACCAAAAATAAAATGCTGACATTGTCATCACGAAACAGTCGTCTGCCACTCAGACCACGTGAGCACATTACTTCATGAACAAAGAGTCCACCCCACTATCTGATTGTCTGTAACGGATGCAGGTTGTTTAGTGAAGTTCTCATTTGCTGAGCAAGGATTTCCCTTTCAGATACAATTCTATCTCACATTTCAATTTCCAAAAGGTGAATAAATAAATACATTTTTGGTTTGTCACAGCTGGATATATTGTTAACAAAACAATGGAAGCTGCATGCTTATTTTTCTTTCAGTCTGGTTTTGTCTTGAACAAAACTAGCTACGTCTTTTTCATAATTTTTTTGCCTACTTCCTTTTTTCTTTATTTGTTTTGAACTTGTGTGTAAAAGGTGTGTCATACACGGAGAAGAAATATGTAGATATAGAAAGAACAAGTTCTGGTATTAACCTTTCGGGGCTGGGTTACTACAAAGTGTTTCCTCAAAATTCGTTCGCCAACTCCTCCAACAAAATGAGAAATCTTGCTTTCCAGAATTTGTAATTAATGATCCATAGCTTTGATTCTACATATGGGACATACACTGTTTACTTGCAACCCCATGGGAGGTGTTATAATGTAAACAGTAAACCAAGGCCCTTTTCCAATACTCGACTTGGGCTCCGTCTCAGGCTTCGTTCCCAAAACCAATCCCCGATTGTGGGCCTGAAGCGTTTAAATTAAATTGTATTACTGTAATTTCTGGCTTTCTTGCATCTTATTTGATGTTTTGTGGCACTATTAAACTAATTACTGCGCTTACAGCTTCAAAGTCAGCTAGTTAAAAAACATGTGAAGCCTGAGACGGAGCCGAAGTTGAGTATTGGAAAACGGCCCAAGTTCCTTCCCTACCTTTCCCACGCCCTATCCCCATGGACCTTGCCAGGCACAGCATTGCTATACCCTTTCAAGGAGTCAAGGTACACGACCCCGACTGAAACATGATCGGCACTTTTGCCATATGCAGCAAGGTATGAGACGGAGAGAACCCCCCCCTGATTTGTGTTGGTCATTGTCTTGTAGGAAT